TGTCTGGGAGTACATTAGGGCCTTGAGATTGACTCACATCAAAGCTCAGATTCTGGCACTGTACCAGCAACATGCTTACCTGGTCTGCTCATGTTCTATGGTATCACTGTGGTGTATATTTGTTGGATTTTATAGAACAGATTGTTCTGTTGAGGCTAATGTTGTCTTTCAAGTACATGTGATGGATGGGAGATATGAGAGTCGTATATGTCAAAGCTTTTAGAAATATTTGAATTCCCAGTTGTGTCTATGATTTAGATGTTGAAGTGAAAGCTACAATATTTACCAGTTGTAAACAGGTTGTTATGCTTGGAATTCCACAGTTTACTACCCAGCCTGCCAAATGGAAGAAACGCATTACAAATCACATTTATGTAACACCTCAGTGCCATTTAGGTACCATTTTTTCCTTGACTTGTGTTTTTCTCAAAGCCTTTAACTAAACATCTGAAAAGAGCCATTAAATTTATAGGTTTTACAGAATTCACTTCAAAACCAAGCATTCTTGGCTCTGGTAATAGCAAAAATAACCCAAAAAAAGCTGAAGGCACTTCTTTGAATCAAAGTTGTTTTAGTGTTTTGACTATTTCAGGGTCTCTGAAGTGATGTCAGTGGTTAAATTGAAGCACTTAATCATAGTGAATCAACTGGCAGGCTTGGATTGCAGAAAAATAATTCTAATCAAAATATAGATAACACATGGGGGCAGCTGTGGCTCAGGGGGTAGAGCGGGTCGTTTCCTAACCGGAGGATTAGCGGTTCGATTCCCGGCTTGTCCAGTCAACGTGTCGAAGTGTCCTTGAGCAAGACACTGTACCCCCGGTTGCTCCCGGTGATGTCACTGGTGTGTGAATGCGTGAGTGCTTGGGAGTGCGAATGGGTGAATGGCCAAATAATGTGAAAGCGCTTTGAGTGTGCTGTAAAAGCATAGAAAGGCGCTGTACAAGTATAAGACCATTTACATGAAAGTTATGAGCTGTAGTGTTTCTCTGATTTGATAGTTTGTAAATCAGCACCAGCATCGTCACGAGGAAGAGGAAAATTCTAAGTGTCAGGCAGTCACAGGAAGCTTACCATTCATTTATAGCTTAATGATTGCTCTGGTTTTCATTCAACTGCTCAGTATATAGTCCCAAATTCAGGTATATTTTTGCCCTTAAAAGTCCATTTTTACAAATAGACCATAACAGACACATAATGGTCCTCATGAGAGCAGATGACTACTTTCTGATGCACCATAAAGGTGCAAAGTAATTTAAGATGTAGCACTGTGAGGGCATAGTGTTCGGTTGTCAGTCTTTGGAAATTCTACTGTGGCATGTTTTGTTTAAAGCTACCTTTTGACAACTTGGGTTAAGACATAAGTGTATTTTTAAAGGTTTAAGTGGTAGAGTTACTGTGCAAACATCTGAAAAGAAACATACTGAATTCAAATGTTTCGGTAGAGGTACAACAATTTTCATTGAATTTTTAAACCAAAAGATGAAACTTGACTTTATATTTACTTGTAAAACTCAAAGGTCATTTTGCAAAAAAAAAAAAAAAAACTGTAAATAAAAGTTGAAATGGGATACAGATGAAAAGCTCTGAAAGCTCTCTATGTGATACGCATTTCTTCCATACAGGACACTGCTCCCAAAGATCAAGAAGAAACTTTCATGCTCAAATTCTGCAGATATCTTTTCATCCCACTGGAGTTAAATTATTAAAGTGACACTTTCAAGTATCCATTCCCCAACACAGTGTTGAGTGGCAACATCTTTTCTTATGTCTTTCTTTGATGTTGTTTTATTTGCCTATTGTTTTCAACGGAGATGAGGACTTGAGTTTGCAACTTGGACTCAAGTCTCACTTAAGTCACACACAAAGTGATTTGAGACTCATTCTCAAAAGACTTGACTGCCCAACTACTAATTGCAGAGTTCAGGAAAATACGGCCACCGTGGCGTCACTTCCAGCCCCTTTTGTTCTCTCAATTGTCGCTGTTGTTCAAAAGTCACATTAGCATTAATTCTGGTTTTACTTCTTGCAGCATCCAACTTCTTTTAGTTGTAACTTTTTCAAATATGGTGTTACCAGCTCTGATCTTCGACCCTGAACCTTACCTGGAGACCTCTGGCTCATGGCTTTAGCCCTGGCTTTTAGCCGGTAACTAGCCTTAGAAGTCCAAGCTGTTCTGGCGGGGAGAAGTGAAGAGGGAGGCCAGCTAACTCTGCTCAAAACATGGGCTTTGTTCTGTCTTGGTACTGCGAGTGGCTTTGGTGCACATGTAACTGCATTACAACCCTACCTATGCTGACTACTGTCAGGCTGCATGTAAAAAGAGCCTTGTCTTCTCGCTCTCATACTGCGCACACAGGTTGCAACTCCTGGCAACATTACCTATAAGGCTATATGTCTTAAAGGAGAAGGCCGGGCCTGTAACAACAGTCTCTGTTTGTGAACAAAAGCTGCTGTGGGGACCTTCTCTGCCATATCTCGCTAGCTTTAGCTATAAAACAGAGCGGTAACACATCTGCCTGCAACTGCAATGTCTTGGGGGAGATTCCTGGATTCCTTAGACATTGCTATGTAGTGTTCTAAGCGGGCTGGATGGCACGCAACACATGATAGGATGCTCATTACAACCACAATGGATTTGAGACTTGACTTTGGCTTTTAAACCAAGTGCCCTTTAGGATTCAATACAGATTTACCTGAAAAAAATGACCTGATTCACAGATGTTTTCTCTTATATCTTTGTTTTAAATAAATAAATAAGAAAAGCCTAGTTCAGGAGCATGTTCATATTCCAAAAGCCTTGTACGGTACATTTATTGAATCAGGACTGTCCTCAAATTAAAGAGGGATAGAAGTTTGTCATTTATGGATTCACAAATAATCCTTTATAAGAGCAGCAACCACGTAGCAGTGAGCAGACTCTCCTTAAACTGTGTGAAGGCTGACCGCCACCACAACAAAAATCCTCTCAGCAATGCAGTTCAGCATCAAACTACCAGAACCATCTGAGTGCAGATGAGTGTATTACGGCCATAGGAGGACAGAAAACTCAAGTTGATCTATAGCTCAAGTTTTAACACAGCAGCTTTGCCTCTAGTCAAGGTCAAAGTGTTTATTTGTCATATGCACAGTTAGGAAACGTGTTTCCCTGTACAATGAAATTCTTACTTTGCCATCCACATGAATGCCATAAAATACAAATGAAATATAAAGTAGATAAATAAGTAGCATAAAATCTAAGGCATTTTATGCAGCAAATGCAGCATTTAATAAAAATATCTAAGAATATAATAAGAGAATGTATGCTGCATGGGAACAGCATGTGCAGCAGTCAACAGTCTAATTTCAGGGCAGTACCAACAAAAAGATTCATTTACATAAGTCTGACAATTGCAAAGGCAGGATCTGTAAAACTGGTGTGAACTAACTCAAGTGGCAGATCACTGTAGCTCAGGAAAACTTTATTACAACTAAACATTATTTCAGATCAGTAAAATGTTCAGGTCACTTCAAAGACCCAGCAGCGTTCAAACCTACAGTACATAATCACTGCACAGGCAAACCGCTCTCAGAAAGGAGGAAACAACTTCATCATGAGTAATTCACAGTATTTAATCTAGACTGTTGGTCGAATTTATAGATGTTATACTGTAACATTATACCTCATGAAGGTCATGCCCAGAAAAACCACAATAAAAAATTTCATTATACTCACCAGTGGTGGCTTGTGTAAAGCGGCTGCACTTGATAAACTTTATGGTCTCCTTGTTCATTTTTGCATGTTAGTGCTAAGCATCAGTCTGCAGGGAAATGCTGTTAAAGGCTGACTTCATGATTTAATATTGCACTTCCATAAAGTTTCTCATTATAAGAGAGAGATTTTAAAGAGAACGGTCATCATCACAACCAGCACGGCCTGAGACGCCCTGATGTTTAGTCCTTGTTAGACCCTTGGTGGCTGGTAAAAGGTTTTCAAACTACATACATCCTGTTCAAAACAGTGGCTTTGTGTTGCATACTGTATATGTTACCTCTAAACCAAAGCTAAGAAAACCCTGAACACACCATCAGGGCTGATTTCCCAGACCTGACAAAGCTCCTCAAAGGGCACTATAAAACTGTTTCACAGACTGAGTAGCTCTAGTAAGCTGACCTTTATGTGTCAAGGTGTCATTTTAACACCCTATATATACAGATGTGTGGCAAATTAAAGGAAAAACTTGACAATGCTCCCATCAAAACACCAAGTGAGAACACCTTACTATGACGCTTTATGATGGGGTTTTCTTTAATTTGGCACCTGTCTGTGTATATTCTCTATATAATAAATATGATGAAGCTGAGCCACCAACAGTAAAGTTGTGGCTCATAAAATTAAAACACTAATCTACTACAGAAAGTTTCATAAAGCTGTCAGGAATGCAGAATAGGCTAATAACTACCTTTGAGTTTGTTTAGCAACTCCTATAGAATATAATTAAACCACTCAGTTAATATAAAAATATCAATGTATGCAGCTTTAAGTTTTAAACAGTGAGCTTAGAAGACATTTGGAAATGAATGACACAGAATCTAGAATTGCTGTAACTGAATAACTGTAATTCTGGGCCACTGTGAAGACTGCCATTCTGCCTCAAAGAAATTTCTACAAACTACAAAAGAATAGCTTCAGCTGTGACACCTGCAGGCTGCGAACACGCCATTTCATGTGTTCTTGCTGCTGAAAGGTCCTCTAATAATGCAAAAAGCAGTCACTTGGCTTCTAAATCAGCCCTTATGGCTGATTGAAACGTGTCTGTTGGGTGGAGCCGGGGTGAAGACTGAGCCCATGGTGTGCGTTCCAGTGCGTGTGAGCGTGCACGTGTCGCTTTAATCGCCGAAGGCACTGTAATGACCAATCAACAGCCATTTCATCTCCTCAATTTGTTGATTTGGCGAGGGGTGGGGGTGAGGGCTGTAGGATTGGTTGAGGGACGTGGGGATTGCACGCGAGAGAGCGAGAGAGAGAGCGCGCCGCGGAGGCAGAGAGAGGACGGGAGAGCAGGGAGCAGCAGTCCGTCTCCGCTGGATCCACTGTTGGTTGTTCTTATTAAAGCTCCATCCTCGGCGCTCAGCGGTAAGTGCCACTGCTCTATGCTGCTCCTTCTGTCCCCACAGCGGGTTCAGAACACAACAAACTACTGCTCGGATATTCATTTGCGTAGTTTGGTTTTATTTTCATGTAGCTGCCTCAATAGTATGAAATTTAGAAGCTCTTCTTGTTGGAGATGCGTAATTTAATTTAGTCCTTAGCAGCCTGTCACTGGCAGTGAGTTGCTCTTTCATGGTAAAAGTCAAGGGAATTTCGGGCGTAACCAACTTTGTTTCTTAGTAAGCTTTCTTCAGACGGCGTTCAGATCGTTTACGGGAACAATAACTTGTGTGAGTTAATAAAAAGTAGTTTTTTTAAATAACCCCCAATTTCTCCGTTTCCCCTTTAATTCAATTAGTAGGCAGTGTGGAAGTTAGAGTGGCAGACCAGAGGTCGTCAAGTGCAAAAGGGTAACTTGTATGAAAGTTCTGTTTAAATTTTAAAAACGTGACATTTTATGAATTCTGTGCGTAAAGGCTCGCGCCTGCGTCAGGGAACTCCTGTCTCAGCGCACATCCTGTAAGACGCTGATGCCTCCGAGGAACGTAGGCGTGTAAAAAAACAACTTAACCTCTAAAATACTCAGCTTTATTGTTGACGAAGTTTTATTTTTCAGGTTTGGGGATTTTTCTTCCACTTAGAGATGTACAACTGCGTCTTATTATTATAGTAATTATCTGGGAAAGTACAGTGACTGGAGGAAATATTATGGCTTAGTGTGTATAATACTTAAGACTTGATTGGAAACACTCTGAACGTTAAAGACGCTGTGTCCGTTTTCTGTTTCGGTCACTGTGGTTGTGTGAACAGTGGGAGAGCCAGAGACGGAGTGCAGCAGGGCACAGTGATGCTGATCTGTTCCGACTCATTTTCTTGTCGTTTCATCTCTCCCTCTCTCTCTGACTCCATCTTGGCCTTTCTGGCGTGAAGTTCTGTCTAATTAGAAGATGTAAAGTTATAGAGATTTTTTTTTCTTTAGTTTTACACCCATGTCCTCGCATCTCCTTATTATCAGTCATCATCTAACCCTGTTTTGCCTTGTGTTGTTATTCACATAGCTTCGGTGGCTTTGCTGACTCGTCATGTTCTGTGGCTGGTAATGAGAGGCTCTGTCACGTTGGGTTTAGACCCAGCTTTTAAATACAGTATGTGTGATCTCTCAGACTGAACAGCTTTAGCTGTCATAGTAGCAGGTTTGGTCGGTGGCAGCAAATCAGGCTGTTGTTCACTGTTGGATTTGACCTGCTTGGAGAGCCGGATGGGTGGGGTTAGCAACATCTGGGCAGGTGGAGCAGGGCTGTAAAAGCAGCTTGTAGTCAGTGTAAAAATCTCTACTGGTCACATGCGAAAGGTCAGGGGTATGTAGGTTTTGGCACTCATTTTAAAACTGATACCTGTGAAAATCCTCAGTCAAAACAATAGGAATATCTTTTTTACTTTTCTGACTTGACATTTCTCACAGAATCACATGACCTCCTGCAGCCCATCACTTAAACTGTTCAAAGAGCCAACAGCAGGCTGCTGGCTGGCTGAGTGTGTTGTACCCATTAGCCTGACCAAAGACTCAGATATTAGGCATGCATCTAAACCAGTGTGCAGTAATTTGTTCAGCTGTGAGAACTGGTTTGTGTTATTCCCATGATTCTCTTCCACCTGAACACTTTGAAGGCAGCAGTGTGAATTTCTTCTAGTAATTATTTAGTAAATATGCAACATTCATCAGAAAATGGTGCCAATTTGTAAAAGATTTTAAGTTTAGTCCTTCTAGATGTTCTTGACAAAAATCAGGAATATTAATACATTATTTTATTGCTATGTACTATATGTGCTTGCTGTGTTCGACGTGCTATGCTATAACTGCAGTTTGTGCAGCCCACAAGTACAACAACCTGGGTTATGCTGACAGTGCCAGAAACACTGGCGCAGAAAGCCTGTCTCACTGTGCCCCCATGTACCAGGATGTATTGTTTGTGACCATAATGATCACCTCTCAAAACTACAACAGGGGACTTTGTTTCCCAGAGCTGAGCAAATCTCAGGGTGGTCGTGACCCTAGCCTCAACTGTCTCTAGGCTAAATGTAACAAGTCACTGGTGGACCCTGGTGGAGGCACATGGGGACAAACCTCTGACAACTGACTAAGCTGTGGTCCCTGAATGTGGAAACATTAACAACCGGCTCCCAACTTCCCAAATTACTCCTCAGACTCTTCATCAGAATGTGCAGATGTCACCATTTACAACACAAGATGCCAAAAATCATGTTAGAGTGAAATAAAAACAACACAGTAATAACAATGTAATATATGTAAAAAGAATCTCAAATATTTCTGGTGAACTGAAGGTAGAGAACAGGACTTAGAGAAATAAAACAGTTAAAACAAATAGATTGTAAAGGACAACTTTATTACAGTGTGCCTGCTATTCATATATATTTGAGTGTAGTTTATCTGTTCAAGTATAATTCCTTTAAAATGTCAAGGATTTCTTGACCTTGGAAACAGGTTGACAAAAAAAACAACAACAACTCATACTTGTATTTTTGAGTGCATTCAACCACCCCAAGACCATGTGGTGCACACACATTAGGAGTTTTGTTTAACAATATTTTTAGTTCATACAAAGAGAAATAAAAGTCCAATACAATGAATGAGTGATGAAGAACAGAAATCATAAAATTAATAGAAGTACAGCAGCAGGAGGGCAAATCAGGTAACTTGAATAAATAAGTAAACAAAAGCCTTAGATCATTTCAAGGCTTTGAGGAAGTGTCAGGAAGACATTTATGGAAGAAAATACTGAGACTGCTGATCACTGCTGTTGACCGGCTGCTCCAAAGTCACAGAAGCATGATGGCAAAACCTCAGTCACGTTTGGTCTTTAGCCGGGACACAGTCGCAGTCAGGTCAGTCACGCAGCATAGAAGTAATCAAAAGCTCAGAGAAATAACCCAAAGCCAAGCCAGGCAAACATTTACACATAGTCACTACAAAAATCAGTGAAGCCATCGGTGAGGAGAGGGAGATTTTGCCCTTCTCTTTGCTGGAGGTAAAAGCCTTGCTCTAGCACTGTTTGTGGTTAAGGCAAACAAACAGGGCATCACAACAGTTCACGAAAGAAGAGACAAAAGCATGTCATCCTCTGTATATCAGAAATTCAGGATGGATCTAAGTATAGCAGTGCTCCTGAGATGACCAAGAAAGCGTCAATGAACAAGTATTTTCCTGTCTGGCCAAATTAGGGATTGAAAACACACCCAGTGTGTTTATTAAACTGAGTGAGGGCAGCGTCATTTTAGCTGAAATCATGGTTATGTGATGCAGAGAGGATAGGTTTATTAAGTTTACTTGGCAGGTCCAGCTGGGCACTACTGGAAGGAAAAAATCAAGGAGATGCCACTCAAGTAACCTGATTATTGTCAGTGGTCTGCAGGCACCTTATTTCTTACAGTCATGGCCAAACATTTTGGCAGTTCTGCATTTCTGTTTCATAACACACCACTTCTCCCAGAACATTTGTCCAATCACAAAGTCTTTGGTATTCTTATGTTTATTTTTTTTTTAATTTTTTGTTGCTTTGGAACAACACAAAAAAACAGACACATTCCACACAGAACTCCAAAAATGGACTGGACAGAATTTTTGACACGTTTTCAAAATCATCAGAAATAGTTGCATTTCAAGCCTGTGATGCTCCTTTAATTTGTAATGAAACATCTGTAGCAACCAACAGGTTCTGGCAACATAGAAATCACACTCGCAACCAGTTAAAATAGAGAAAAGCTGACTCAACCTTTGTGTTGTGTGGACCACACTGAGCATGGAGAAAAGAAAGAAGAGCAAAGATTGTCTGAGGGTTTGAGAACCACAATAGCCTGGACAATCTCAAGGCTTCAAGTCCATCTCCAGAGATCTGGTTGTTCCTGTGTCCACCGTCAAGCTGGGAGAATGAGGCCTTCATATCTGAGAGACCCGGAGCAGTTAGCAAAAGAAGAGTGGTCCAAAATTCCAGTAGACATGTAAGATTCTCACCGATGGTTACAGGAAGTGACTGATTTCAGTTATTTTGTCAAAAGGGTGTGCTACCAAATATTGAGGGTGTCAATAATCCTGTCCAGTCCGTTTGGAGTTCTGTGTGGAATGGATCAGACTGGGCTCTTTTCTGCTTTTTTGTGTTGTTCCAAACACAAAAAGCAAAAGAAAAAAAATATGAGAATACCAAACACTTTGTGATTGCAACAGTTTTCTGGGAGAAGTGGTGTGTTATTTAACAGAAATGCAGGGGTGACAGTATTTTTGACCATGACTGTATATGTCAAGCAACATCCAGGTAACCAAGTACCAACTGGACTTTTACACTCAAGAAAGGAAATAAGTAAGTGAATTTCTACACTTCACAGTACTGAGCACTGAAGTGGCACACATTATCATTATAAGGATAAGAAAGTATATGGATCTGATTACCTTAATTTTATTGGGCACCGGGGAAAGGGGCTTTTCCAGTGAGACTGATAAGCACAACATAAAAAAGTGGGATTATTATTATTTTTTGGCCTGTTCAGAAGAGCTCTGAGACATATTTGGGGCTTACAACTTCAATCTAAATACATCCTAATATATTTCATTAGCTGGTGATTACCAGAAGCTTTGTACTTTTAGCTTAAACAGTCGTCTTTCAATCTCGGATTCTTTCCTTCTTACAGAAAATGTACTGATGGCACATTGTTTTTAAGTGTAGCAAAGGCGAGGGGGTGTTATTGAGCTAGTGTGGCAGAAGATGTTGCTGGGGAACCAACATATGCCTACTATTTATAAAAAAAAATCTCTGTGTGTTTACCACACAGCCCTACTCATGGTGTTCCTAACTGACCTAAACTACGTGACTGGTTAGACACTGAGACCTTTACAGTGAATTTGGACAGAGTCTTATTACACTGTTGAATTGCAAGACCTCTTTAAAGGTAGAGCGAGAACATATTTTTAGAAT